AACCTTTTGCCTTTGTGTTTGTTTGACTGTTTTGTTTGTTCCTCTTTGTACAGTAATTAAGAGACTCTTCACTATAAAGTAGGAATGTAATTATGATTTTTATGAAGACTTGCATATTTATATTTGATAAAATAGATTTTGCAAGAAATGATGGCAAAGATTCAGGAAATTCACGGCATCTAGTTGACGGAAATATGTATTCAAAGGACCAAATATTTAATGTAATCTGAATTTCAAAGTCAATAATAGTACCCTCTTTATGGATGTTTTTTCCTTCTTACTTATTTGTGTATCTTTTAACCTTCCAAGACATTTAGCATTGCAATGGATTATAGCACATTATAACATTTGAAAAAACAGAATATTTAATATTTACCCAAATTGTGAAAAACTTATATTTAAGGAATGCTAAATGTGTATGTATATATTTGTTTTTATCTGTGTTGGGAGTTTTGATTTTGGTGGTGGGTTTGGTGAATAAAAAAAGTTGAGGTATGGAGGGAGCCTGCTGGAGAGTACAATTATTTTGAAATTGAAAGTTGTAATTACACGTCAACATATGTTTGTAATAAAAGTATGATGTTGAACACTAACATACATGTTATAAAATATTAATCCAAATTATTAATATAACTATTTTTATTCATAAAATTGCCTTATATAAGAAACATAATCAATATTAAATATGTGAATAGAATAAAACTCATTTGCTAAGATATATACTGGAAATGTGTTCTAAAAGAAGGAACTGGTTTCAGAAGGAACAGCATCTTCCTGTATTGTAGGAGCATCATCAAGGGAAGCATTCTTTGAAGAGAGAGGAATGAAAGCACTGAAGAAAGATAAAATTGCCCAAGAAATAACTAGATTGAAAACAAAAATCCCAGAAAACTACAGATGGAAAAACACACTCGGGTTGATAAGGGTCTAGGAATTGAAATCTGAACTCTGGGATTAAATCCGTTATTTTCAATTTATAAGTTTTGGGCTCTTGGGCAAGTTGCAAAAACTGATGGACGTAAGTAGAGTTGTAAAAATGAAATGGAGTATGTGCCATACAGATGATTCTTAAATAAAAAAAAATTACTATGCCTCCAACCAATGGAGGGCTGCAACTGGAAATGTTGAGTGCTCAGTTTCGATTCATTCATGTAATTCTTCATTCAACCTATAATTATCAGATTTCTCTGGGTTAGGTATTGTATTATATTAGATGCTAACTACCATTAGTGATCAAACTCCTTGTTCTCTGTCCTATTCTCCACTTTTTTGTGTACTGTTGAAAGATATTGTTTAAATATACTAACAAGGAACTAGTTTCTCTGTGCAGAACTGTTGGATGTCATTATGTAGGCGGTATGAACATTGAACAAAGATTTATAATGAGCCTTAGGAGACAGATATCTGTTACCACCTGGCTGTCATCACCCAATTTCTTATTCTTAAGGCAAGGATATTAATATTTGCCACCTCCCTGGCATCACTCTTTGAGGTAACTGAGATTACCTTGTTGAATATTTGTGGGCATCATTAGGAGTGCAAGGCTATATAAATACAAGTCTTATTCCATTACTCACTGCAACATGTCCCATGGAATTTATTGTAGCAATTATGATTCAAAGTAGTAGGATATAAAAATTTAAATCACTAGACAAATCAGCAATCCAATTTTATTCTGTGTGGTATATTTAATACAAAATTTTATTAAACTCTTTGAAAATGTGTCCCCTTAAGGATTTAAGTTAAATAGCCTGGATTAGAAAACTGGAATTTTATAATAATAGCTGAAATTCTAGCTTTCTACTTTATTACATTAACATGTCACAGGGGATTCCAGAACAGTAGATGACTTTATATAACTTGAATTCAATACTCATCTACAAGATGCAGGTGGACACTTTAGATTAGATCTGAAGAAACTCCTGTCTCAGTCCTTGTCTCCAGGACTATCTTCTTTTGTTGTTATTGTTTAAACTTCAAATATAAAATTTATTGTTAATGAAATATTGAATATGGTTGTTATCATTTAGAATTTTGAATATTGTATTTTGGAATGGAGAAAAAATATTTTTAAATGGCTGGTTGTGCTTATATCATGGAATATGGAACCCCTCAAGCAGGGTTTGTGACATTACCACCTAGACAAACACATGGACATTTCTGCAGCAAGGCGACGCATATTTATTCGAAGTGGGATAAGTGAAGATTTTAAATAACTTTGCATTGGTTAATTTACAGCTCTGCTGTCAAATGCAATGGAAGCTCACTTAGCAGTTTTCAGAACTTTTCAGGTGTTGGACTTGTGAATGAAACGTTTTAGATGTGTGTTAGGACACAGCAGTAGTGAAGGACCAGAAGCAACATCTCTTTGCAGTTCAGAACTATATCTCTGTAGCCTCAAATGCCAGGGTCCAAATCCTTTGTTAAGGTATTTATTATCTATGCCTCTTCAGTTTCTTCATTTTCAGAATAAGGATAATAATAGACCCTGCCTTGTAGGGTGTTATGAAGTATAATATGTTAATATTAATAAAATAATAAAATGCTTAGACTAGCACTTCAATAAGTGCTATTTAGAAACTGTTACATAATGTCATCTACTTTGTTTAAATTTAGAATCAGAATATAAGAATACAGTGAGTTAATTTTAGTTCTCTGGAAAAAAGTTATGGCTAGTTTTAACATTGTATATGCACACTCATAGATATCCAGTTAGTAGGCATTTTCTGCCCTTACACATTCCCTCTCACAGGGCTTAGTCAGAATGGGCAAAAGGGAGAGGAGAAGAAGGAGTGTTCATGGCAGTCTGCGTTATCACCAGTGGAAGTTTAGACCAAGAAGAGGTTTAAATAACAGACCAAAATAGTATCCTATAAATGGGATCATCATCCCTATTTAGGGAAAAGTTGATTATAGATGCTTCTGGAAATGAACCTTTCTTAGGAACAAGGTAATGGTAATTTAAGGAAACAAAATTCCATAAGTCATGAGAGGTGGTGTAAGTGTGAGGCGGATAGCCCAAGATCACTATCCTTGCCATGCTCCAAGGACAAAAATGTCTTCAACTCAGCACGGTAGTATATGCCTGTAGTCCCAGCTACTTGGGAGGCTGAGCTAGGAGGATTGCTTGAGTCCAGCATTCTGAGTTCAGCCCGGGAAACACTGCGAAATCCTGACTCTAAAATCAATCAATCAATAAATAAAGCAAAATAAAATGCTTCCAATTGTAGCTTACATTTTTCTATGTTCTGGCTGAAGTATCTAAGGTATATATGTGGGGACCATCTCCTTGCTCTCCTAAACCATTTTGTACTCTTCTGGGGAAAATAAACAAGAGATTATTTTGGAGGATAAAGGCAAGGAATTGTGGGTTCCATTGTCACAAGCTTCAGATGCGGCAACTATCTGGCCTGGACCATGATGGCCTAGCAGCCTGGGCTCCCCGCTATTGTTCTGGGATGGTCATTTTCCTCTTCTCCCTTCCATAATCTTCATCTTTCCTCTTGTTTAGGGTCTTAAATTTCATATATTTATAGCAATGTTGACATAATTTCAATTAACCTTCTAAAGATACTTTTGTATCTTAATCCAATTTCTGAGCCTTGTGAATCCACTTATACCACTTGTTCATTTTTAGTCTTCTTATAGTAAAATATTAGCAATCAAACTATGTAACTGGAAAAAATATTACTGTAAGTTATAATTGATTAACACCTTATACATAGCGCCTTATAATGGGTTGCTTGTTTTGGAGTTTTTTTTTGAGTTGGAGTCTCACTCCTTCACCTAGGCTGGAGTGCAGTGACCCGCTCACAGCTGCTCCAGCATTGACCTGCTAGCTCCAGTGATCCTTCCACCTCAGCCTTCCAAGTAGCTGGAACTACAGGCATGAGCTACCATGTCCAGCTAATTTTAAATTTATTGTAGAGACGAAGTCTCACCATGTTGCCCAGGCTGGTCTTGAACCCGTGGGCTTAGGCAATCCTCTCACCTCGGCCTCCCAAAGTGCTGGGATTATAGGCTTGAGCCACCGTGCCAGCCTGTAAGGGTTATTTATAACAATATCCTGTGCTATCCTAGATAACTAAGATTTTGAATACTAAGATTAGTTCCACTACTAAGAAACTTAATTCGATCAAATAAATGAGCATTTTGTATAGGTCGTTTGTTAAGAAAGTTTTGGTACCCACTAGTTATAGACTGTATAAGACAATATGCTGTCTTGAAAAGCCAGATTATATAAGAATGTCTGACACTTATGGTCCTAAATTCTTCAACATTCCTTAATATTCCCAAAAGGAACCATTCTTTAGCTTGGTTGGAAGGTTGTTAAAGAGAGAAAATAAGTTCCCCTCTCAATTCTCAATAAAAACAGGTCTTTGGGAGACTTTATACTGCACCAGGGGTAAGAATTTATGAAAATGTCCTGTGGAAAAAAATAATATTTCATTTGCTGAAAGGAGAAAAACTTTTCTGGGGAAAACACTTTAAATATAATCTTTCTTATAAAAATTAATTTGTTTTATTTTCTTGACCTCTGAAATGCCATAAACACAGTCCTGGAGTACCTTAGTCTTCCTTCTCATTTTCCTCCCATGGCCGTGCTAAATTTCACCACTGACTTCACCTAGAACTCTAGAGGTTTCTATAACATATTCCTAATTCCTGTATGAAATTTTCTGTGTTCTGAAACTTGATACATAATAGCAATCGCTTTATAGCCTTCACTTTTAAAAACATTTTTGGATAACCTTTCCATTTAGAACCCAGGAATTTGTATGAAACCACAGAGGTTATATTGCTTTTGAACTAAAGGCTGTTGGTTTGTGGAATTTCCTTTAACTGGAAACACACATGAGTCTGTGGTTTTAATGTTTTTCCAGTTTTATACTATCCTGCTTGTTTGTTTTCATTTTCAAAGCTGGAGAATTTACCATTAATTTCCATATTTTATAAAGGACTAACTTTTTTCCTTCCTTTCTTTTTTTCTTTTTTTTCAGTTGAAAGAGACAAGGATTTTTCTCACCAGAGAAGGCATTACAAAGAATTTCGCTTTGATCTTACTCAAATTCCTCATGGAGAAGCAGTGACAGCAGCTGAATTCCGAATATATAAGGACCAGAGCAACAATCGATTTGAAAATGAAACAATTAAGATAAGCATATATCAGATCATCAAAGAATATACAAATAGGTATCAACTTTAAATTTAACTTATTATCCTGACAAACAAATATTAAATGTTAGTGAAAGCCATTGATGACTCATGTGACTATCAAACCAACCACATTTCTTTGGGTTCAGTGACATTCAGGGCCACGTAGAGACACACTGAAAAGTCTGAGTAACTGACCTGATTTATTCTCAATTCCACAGCTACTCCCTTACTCTTGACACCAATCTGTGTCCTCAATAGCTTCATGCTTCCCTCAGTGTGCTTTCTAGGTCTATTGTCTTATTTTGTGAGTTTATCTTTCACTCCAAAAGTTTGCATTTTGTTGTGCCTGCATGAAACTTATAGTGAAGATGATTTAGATTGGTATTCTGTAAGGTAAGGAAGAGTTGCTTAACTTTTCACTGGCATAAATGTAAATCATACATGCATTGTTACGTGTATTTTTCTATCTTCTCTCGATAAGATACTTAATTCAGCATGGTACAAAAATGAACAGATAGTCCAAAATTCTAGATGTATAAAAACCTCAGTTGATAATTACGGCAAATGAACCTTGGAATAGAAGAGATTAAAAAGAACGTTAGTGGTGCTGTCTGACTTTTGACCCTATGCAGACATATCTTGGAGAACATCTTTTACAGGTGATCAGTTACCTTTGTTGGGCACCATATGTATTATCTGAGCAAAATTCTATATTGAAGTTATATCTCTCTCCCAGTAACTTCCATTAATCAGATGTAGATCATCCTTCTGGTGAAATTCTGTGTTCTTCTTTGATGATACAAATATTTAAAGATAGCTGTGGTATCTCCTCTTAGGCCCTCTTCTTCCCTTGTTGATTGTTTTGAGTTCCTGATGTTTGGATTTGTCTTGGTCTTCAGATGTGCCTGTTTCCCAATGGGTGTTCAATGGATCAGTTACTCTAACTTTTCAGTGTGTCTCTACGTGGCCCTGTATGTCACAGTAGCCTTTGCAATAATCAACGAAGAAAAAAGAAAAGGCTTCTGAGGTCACGTATATTTGAAAAGGCTGCCTGATAGACCATCCTGTAGGTTACGCATAGCAAAATGTTGAAAGTCTTGGAAAGGCTTCACAGAAAAAATAAACTGTCAATCTTAACTCATTGGTCTATGGACTCTTTGGGTGTATAGTACTTATTAATATCCTGTGGATCACTGGTTCAAAAGAACACACTTTGATACATACTGATCTATATGCTCTGTTATGTTAAAGAGCAGTTATTCCAAGGCAGAAAGACCTGCTGTGTTCCTCAGCTTTAACATTTACTGGTTATTTGTCTGTGGATGAGTTATATTTTTAAAAAATATCGATCTAGTGGTTACGTTCAGAAAATGAGGACACTAATATTTTCGTATAGACAGAGTCAGGTATTTATAGTGACTACTATAACACATTACTTTTTATATTTAATAATGTATTCTTTTTAAATTAGTGAGAAGAATTGAAAATAACACTCTAAATAGTATTTAACAGTATTTCCATAACTAACACATTATTTCATTTATAATTCCCTGTTCCTGGGAGTTCCTTAAAGAAGGGATAGTATCCTAAGTCATTTAAAAAAAAAGATCCAATACTAATTTGCTTGGTATGAACCAATATTTTGAAATTATTATTACTCATAATTGGAATACTATTTTCATCAACATATCTGAAAATGTTTGAATTATTTTTATTTTTGGTCAGTCACATATATTTTTATGTGTGTTAAATTTTTAGTTGGTTATTTATATCTCAAGTGTTTTTCAAAGGAGTCATTGGTACACCAGGTTTCTATCCTCTGGAATATATTTATTGATTGAATCTAAAAGTGGAATTTTACATTGCTCACAATTAAACGTCCTAACTTTTCTTTAAGTTCATCATTCTGTCTACTCAGGTTACTTTTGAACGTTGTTTAATGAACCTCCTGAGCTTACTTATACCTCCTATTTTCTAAGGATGTGAACTGCATAATTTAAGACATGTTAAAATGATGAAGTTAAATAATTAACCAAAGATTCTATTGACAATAGTTTGTAGATTTATTTCTGAATGAACCTATACTGATTTTCATTAGTAATTCATTTTGTAATTTTTATGGGTATTGATGTTTAGCTCACCAGACTGTATAGTTTTACAGAGAAATCTTTTATAGAGATATCAATTATCTTAAAAATGGGACATTTGTTTATCTTGTATCTCTGATATTTTTAATAATTATACCTGTTTTTTAAAATATTACTCTCAATGTTTCTGCACCTATTACTATGTGTTGTTTCTGTATTCTTAGGTATAATTTGGCTAAGTCTTTATTTATTTTAACATGTGTTTAAATCTACTCTTAGATTCAGAATTTTGTATATCTTTTCTAAATCTTTTAAAGTTACTTATAAAATCTAAAAGTACATGTATATCTTTGCTTAACATTTTCTTACATTGCCATTCTAAGCTCTGTGGTGGCATAGATTGAATAGATTTCTATTCAGTTTATCAAAGAGATTTTTAAAAAATTCAATTTGGTAAATTTAATTCAATATTAATTTAATTCTATCAAGTTTACATTTTTGAACATCTGCTATTAACTATTGTTGCTGAATTATTAGCTTCATCTTCTAGGGTTATGGTATATCTATTGTCCTCTGTGACATTTGTTTTTGATAGCATAGTTGAGTTTTTTCCCCACAATTATTTATTTCAATACCTGAACCATTCACACTCATATATGCATCCTCACACTTCAATTTGATATACTATTGATCAAGTCGGATAATCTTTAGAAAAACACTTTTCTCCACTTTAAAATAAGCATTCATTCATTGATACGAGTTCATTATTGCCTACAGATGCAAGATGCATTGCAAGAAAATACAATCCACTACCCTGTCATTACCTATAGATGTAGGATTCACCATTTGTACTCCTTTCTTTCAAAGAAAAATGTTTAAGGGACCAGACATATAGAAATAGAAATATGAAGCCGGGCTCGGTGGCTCAGCCTGTAATCCCGCGCCTTTGGGAGGCTGAGGTGAGTGGATTGCCTGAGCCCATGGGTTCGAGACCCGCCTGGGCAACAAGACCTCAACTCTACAATAAATCAAAAAATCAGCCGGGCGTGGTAGCGCATGCCTGTAATTCCGGCTACTTGGAAGCCTGAGGCGGAAGGATAGCCGGAGCCCAGCAGGCGAGGCTGCGGTGGCTGGGAGCGGCCACTGCACTCCAGTCTGGGCGACAGAGATTCCAACTCAAAAAAAAAAAAAAAAAAGAAAAAGAAATAGAAATATGTATTACAGAGTATTTAAAGTTTCTTTGCAGGATTTTCAAAGTTATCATAGAAAAGAATAATGTAATGCCATAAGAATGCAAACTTAGAAATTCACATATGGAGAAGCTTCTGTACCTTTTGGAGTTATAGTTTACAAATCTGAATAGAATAAAACAAATAAGTATTCCAGAACAAGAAAAATAATTTCAGATGACTGTGGAAGGGTTCTTATCTAGTGCAAAGACCATACTTGATATTTAATAAATATAGAGGTTAATATATTTTCATATAATTTAAAAGGAGCAAATACTTTTGTTTACAAGATTATATATATAATAGAATCAGAAGTAAATTGTTATTATAGTAACAGTAGCGACCAATTGCTAACACCTACATGTATGAAAAAAAGTAAGTAAAATGAATCTGTGTCTTAAGTAAGAAGTTACTCTAATTACCTAATTTTAGCATATGCAAAAAAATTAGTAGGCTTTGATGTCTAATAATGAAGTGAATGCCACCTAGCTTAATAGCAATACCATTGATACTACCTGTGAAGAATTTAACAGCTAAAAACACAAGTTTTAAATAATTAAACTCTTTAAAATGCATTAAAGCCTGGGCATGGTGACTCATGCACTTTGGAAGGCTGAGGTGAGAGGATTGCCTGAGTCCAAGGGTTCTAGACCAGCCTGTGCAATTTGGAAAGATCTGTGTCTACAATAAATAAATTTAAAAAATCAGCCAGTTGTGGTGACTGAAATCTGTAGTTCCAGCTACTTGGAAGGTTGAGATGGAAGGTTTGCCTGAGCCCAGCAGGTTGAAGCTGCAGTGGCCATGATCATGCCAATGAAGTTAAGACCAGGCAACAGAGTGAGACTGACTAAATAAATACATACATACATTGAGAGATTTACTTTATTAATACATTGAGGATTGAGAGACTATTTATTTATGTATTTATCTTACAAAAGCATTAGAGACATGGAAAAATGTAGATAAAGATTCATGTAAAAATGTTTATTACTATAGTATTATTATTTACAATTCATAAATTGAAAGCATTTCAACATTAAACAGAAGAGAAAAACTTAAGTTCCATTTCCTGGAAAGAATTTCGTATAGTAAATTAAAATTATGGTTTTTGTTTGTTTGTTTTTTGAGTTGGAGTCTCACTCTGTTGCCTAGGCTGGAGTGCAGTGGCATACCCACGGCCACTGCAGCCTCAGCCTGCTGGACTCAGACAATCCTTCCGCCTCAGCCTTCCAAGTAACTGGAGCTACAGGCATGCACTACCATGTCTGGCTAATTTTTTATTTATTTTTTATTTTGAGTTGGAGTCTCACTCTGTCGCCCACACTGGAGTGCAGTGGTCGCTCCCGGCCACGGCAGCCTCGACCTGCTGGGCTCTGGTGATCCTTCTGCCTCAGCCTTCCAAGTAGCCGTAACTACGGGCACACGCTACCACGCCCGACTAATTTTTGATTTATTGTAGAGATGAGGTCTCGCCAAGTTGCCCAGGCTGGTCTCGAACCCCTGAGCTCAGGCAATCCTCTAGTCTTGGCCTCCCAAAGTGCTAAAATTATGTTTTGAAAAATATTTAGCAGCACTGGAACATGCTCATCTATGTATGATGTTGACTGACCAAAAACAGAAACATAATTATATGCATTAGTATAGTAATTTTAAGTAAATTAACGTACAAAACTGATTTGAAGGCAGCATCAAATGTTCATTGCAGAATTATGGGTAATTT